GGCTAAGCCTTTCCGCACAATGGTCAGGTTTAGATATCGACGACATTCCGATGTCGCAAATCGAAAAACAACGTTATCAGTTTTGGTGCAAAAACGGTGGGGATCACTCGGAAGGTCCTCTAAGCTATGAAGAGTGTACAAATGTATTGAAATCCTTCCAAAATGATAAGTCGCCAGATGAAGACGGATTCACTGTGGAATTCTATAAATTATTCTAGATCTACTAAGTCAAAATCTTCTGGTTTGCTTAAACGAGGCCTCGCAAAGAAGGGGCATTATTACTTTACCACCAAACGAAGACGGTTCCTTACTCGACCTGCACACTAGAGGCCGATAACCCTACTGAATGCTGATCTAAAGATTGCTGCGAAAGCAATAGCTAAAAGATTAGGAACGGTTTTGCCGAACTTAATACACCCAGAACAAACAGGCTTTGTGAAAGGACGCTACATTGGGGAAAACATTCTTATTAGCGATGTTCTAGACTTTACAAAAGAGCAAAAAATTTCCGGCATTCTAGTAGCTCTTGATTTTCGTGAAGCTTTCGACTCTCTCGAATGGCCCTTTATTATGAGAATCTTAGATGCTTTTAATTTTGGTAGCAGCATAAAACTAGGGATCAGTACATTCTATACGAACGTGGAGAGCGCAGTATTGAATAATGGTTACATGACGAAGTGGTTTCAACCGTCGAAAGGTGTGAGGCAAGGTTGTCCTCTCTCTCGCCGTTTCTGTTTATCCTCTCAGCTGTATTAATGTCTATAAAATTACGCTACGCGGACCCGGGGGTCAAAGGCGTTAATCTGTTTGGTAACAAACTGAACTCAAACTAACGAACTCAAACGAACTCAAACTGTCACAATTTGCCGACGACACGAATCTTTTTTGTACAGATTTAATTTCAGTGGGGAAAGCTTTAAATTTAGTCAATGATTTCGGTAGGGTCCGATAGGATAGCTGGTCTACAGCTAAACATGAAAAAAAAAAAAAAAAAAAGAAACTCTTCCTCCCACACCTCCCAAACACGCAGAAATAACGTCCCCTTATTTACGGGCTTATTTTATATGTCGTTAGAACATGCTTTAGAGACTTCTGTAGNACAAACAAAACTGGATATGTGGAGTGCTAGAAGCCTCATGCTATTTGGTTGAGTCTTAATAACCAAAACTTCCAAACCAAAACCAAAACCAAAGTTCCCGATACAATCGCAGGCACGCTGAAAAAGAAGTTGTTCAATTCTATATGGAAAAAAAGAAGGGTAAAATCAAACGAACCGTTCTTTACCAAGATTCAGAGAAAGGTGGGCTACGTCTGATAGATGTAGATCTTATGTTTAAATTCTTGAGACTCGCATGGATCCCTAGACTCTTGAACACTGGAGACAAAAATTGGTGCCCCGTGCCAAACTACTATTTTAGAAAATAGGGGGGCCTAAATGTTCTTTTAAAATGCAACTATGACACAAAGTATTTTCCTCAATTGCCAGTCTTTTACAAGAACATTCTCAAATCCGTCCAAGAATTAAAAAACTTTACAGTTACGACCAAGGAAGTGATTTAGTATTATATAACAACAAAGAAATTCAAGTAGATCAGAAAACTGTTTATCTCAGTAAATGGGTGAAGAAAGGAATTGTGCCTATTAAAGACTTGTTGAAGGAGTATGGAAGCTATCTCTCATTCCAGGAATTTAAAAGAAAATTTTCATGCAACACAAACTTCATCCAATATCTTCAGGTGCCATACCTGACCGGTTACGGTTGAAAGCAAGACAAATAGAATCCGTTAATATTCAGTTCTTCACAAGCAACGACCATCTTTTTTAAGAGAAATTTCACATTCAACCTTGATAAAGCCAAATCGAGAGACTTCTATAATCTTTTCATTGATAAAACCCACAATGGAGGTCAGACTGGTACTAAAAGATGGAGCGAAATACTTTCTTTAAACGACGAACATTGGGCAAAGATATTCAAGACAACACGAAAACTTTGCAAAGAACCAAAACTAAAAGAATTCCAGTTTAAGTTTATTCATAGCATCGTGGTGACAAAGAGAGAACTATTCAAATATGGTATTAGAACTGACGATGAATGCTGCTTTTGTGGGGAAAACGACTCAATCGACCACACTTTTATTCACTGCCCCTTTACGAAATCATTCATACAAAAAGTACATTCGGTGGTTTAATACAACGTACAATTCACAAATCTCTCCAACTATGGGGGAACTTTTATTCGGAATTACTTCCAACTTAAACGAGAAAGGTACCATCAATAAATTCAACCACATCACACTATTCATGCGCTATTTTATCTACAGTTGTAAACTAAATAACAAGTCCATTGACCTTCATGATTTTGTGAATGCAGTACAACAAAGAGACATAATTGAAAACACTGTCAATAATTAGCACTAGGAAGACAATACTGGGTAAAATGTCTCAACTCTCCTCTTTTAGTGAAACTCTCCTCAGCTTTTCCAGTGTTGTTGGCGGGTGCAGCGGTGCACCTGCCGCCAACGGCATCGGAGGGACTATCACTTAAATACTCCTCTTTCTTGCCTTTGTTTCCCACAAATCGAGGACAAGTCAAACAGATGTAATCTGCTTGATAATAATAAGAATTATTATTTTTTTAATATTAATGCTCTATTATAGCTACAACTGTTAATTAAATAACAAGTATCTACTACAATTAAATAGCACTTAGTATACATTGTATTGCCTGAATGTAAAAGGTAACATAGCCGTAAAAATGTTAACAATAAAGAGAAGAAAATAATAATAATAATAAAAATAATAATAATAATAATAATAATAATAATAGTAAGTGGAAAACAAAATATGTGAATAATGTAAGAAGAGTATTGTAACTGTCCGTGGTGCAAGCAACCAGTGTTGTAAGTACCGTAAGTAATGTATTGTATTGTATCGTATTGTAATGTTGAGTATTGTAAAATATATTAATTATAAAAAAAACAGTGATTCCTGTTTCGGTAGCCCGACATTGTTCGAGTGAAAAAAAAAAAAGATCAGTATTCATTGCCTGAGACTAATTGTATTCTGCCTGCAGACATCCATTCTCACTCAGTAACTAAGTATTGCAGCACTCTGCGGCAGCCGCTAGTGGAAATTACTGATCATGAAAAGTCCGATCTGTTCACGCGTACAATTATTCCCTAATTGTTTCTCAAACAGACCGATTTCCTACGCTAATTAAGTCGTTATTTTTGAATAAGGACAGTCGCCATATATATGCCATGCGGAAGTCTTCTCGGCAGAATTCGACGTCACGAAACGTTGGTTTGCTTTTGGTAACAAAAATAGGCTTTTTTTTCTCAGGTTCTTCTTAGTACTTTAGCGGTATTTTGGAAGCATTTCTCGGCACATCTGATTTGTGATCTTTTCTTGAATCCTTAAGAGCAGTCTCCTATACTTTGTGGAGAAACTGGACAACGATAATTTTCTGGGATAAGCAGAAAGTTCCAGTGCACGCAGACATGCATATTTCTTCTACTAACGTTTTGTCCTAGTCTCTGAAACAGCTACACAGATCAAAACTAAAAAAAAATCCTTCAATTAACAAATGGTAAACGCCATAGCGTGCACTATTGAGTTATGGATGCACGCGGGAGGTTGCTAAGCACGAAAGAAGTGTAAGAGTCGCACGAGG